CTTAAGCAAGATGTTTGATCAAAATTTGCGCCACATGGTTTTCCTTGAAATAATTTTTAAAGAAATAAATTGCACAACTCGAAAAACATCTCATTTTCTGATGTGCGCAAAACAATATATTATTCCCTTTCATCACAAAGGGATTTTGTGTTAAATTCTTGAACGTTCATGTTCTATTCAATACAGTACTAAGAATAATTTTTTTGAACGCGACAAACTGTTTTACAAAGTATATTTCAACTATTTAAGCATCATCAGGTTGAAATTTGTCGTTCGAGAAGTCTTTTGTTCTGAAATGTATTCCCTAAATAAACATGTTAAATTCGTTTCAGCACCATGACTGATGGTACTGTATTATCAAAAATTTTCCAGACGTATACTCCAGAAAACCCGTTAAAAATGATGAGATGCAATTAAATTGTAACCTGCAGCTAAACAAAAAAGAAAATCCCTGAGCAAAGCGTTCATCAACGTGTCGCATAATCAAAATATCTCGGAATACGAGCAATGCGGCTTCTTAATTCGCGTAATTTTGAAATTGTCAATTGTAGTACCCTGAGTGATGTTTGGAATGTTCGGGCTTCATTTCCCGAAGGTCACTTCGACGAATGACTGAAATGTTGTTCGAAACTGAGGCTGGGAAAGAAATGCTTCAATGCTCCACAACAAAAAACGAAGAGATGATAGGGACATCTCGGTATTCGACTACACTCCAATATATGCCCGCAATGTTGTTTACACAGGTTTCCTCACTTCCTTAACCAAGAGTACAAAATAAGAAAAAAGAAGAAAAAAAAGAAGGACGAGAGAAGCTAAACAACAAGTTTGTTTTCGGTCTTATCTCAGCTAGCATTTCTGTTGATCCTCCTTGGACTGCACTGTTTTTCTTTTGTTTACTTTTTTTTGGGTCTCTCTTTTTCAGTAATGTACGTATGCAAAATATAACAGGGATATTTGGGGGGGAATCATCACAGGATCACACAAGATTCAACGAAAAAGGCGCCCAAAGCCCGGAATTGGTCGGTCGGCGGCGGCTCGTCGCGGACTGACGCACTGGGCGTCCCGATTGCGTTGACTTTGTCCTCGGAGATAGGCATCAAACGGCGGCTTCGAGGGCGGCCTCACACTGCTCTCTTGGATATGCAGTGAGGGGCCCCCGAGATTCGGACGCTTGGGCCTTTTACTCCATGCGTTGGAGCGTCCGCATGTTGGATAACGTTTTCCCTTAGACTTCAAGGGGAATATATTTAATTGGTTTTCCTAGCTTTTGATTAAAAATTTGGGAAAATCCCCCTCCAAAAAATTTATAGAATAATTTTTTTTTTCAAGTTTAAGATGCAGAAAATTACAGTGCGCAAGAAAACCAGGCATAACCTGATATTCTGGCATAAAAAGGCACCCAAAAAGCAAAGAAAAAAAGCAAAAGTTTCCCCATACAGCAGGTGGTACCATGCAATTCAACCCTGAACAATTGCCTAACTAGGCTCAAATTGCAAAGCAGTCAAATTGTGAGACACTGTGTTGAATTAAAGAATATCCCTATAAACATACAAAAAATTGGCTAAAGCAAGCCAAATTGTGTGGCAAGGGTCAAATTGCAAGTCAACATCCCTGCAAATTCAACCATAAAATTGCAAGATGATCATATTGTGGGAAGTTTAACCCTTGTGTGGCAAAGTCGGACTATTTTTGCAAAATTTTGTGGCACTGCAGAGAGGTTTGGAAAAAAATGATGACAGGTGGTCAAGGGCAAAGTCGGGAAAAATCCCGATGCTTTTTTCTCTGAGCACAGAAAAATTTTGCGGGCAAAAAAAAATGATCAGTTAGGCTACCGGCTTTATTTGGATTAATCCCAACTTTGCCTCAGCCCACCTGGAAGGGTTTCGGTGACCTTCCCAAAACTGAAAACGCGGGAGGATACGAAAATAATCCAACTCTGTCCCACTACGGGAAAGAACCCTCCGCCGTCCGAGGGTTAATTGCAAGGTACCACCTGTACTGGGTTCTGATGGTCAAAAACACTGCAAAAAAGCACAAAATTAGTCTGTTTTGGGTCATGAATTACAGGGAATTTTTAATAAAATTATTTTTAATGTTTATGATTGTGAAAAGCTCAAATTGTTTGAGAGATATCAAGAATTTTATGAATAAAATTTTTCCATTTGTCCAAAAAGTTGGTATTTTGAGACATTGTCCAGAATATCCAGATATTGCATTAAATTTTTTGAGTTATCAAAGTGTATCTCAGTCAAATCATCAAATAATGTATGTTGGTGTATCCACACATTGGGTCCACTACATATGGTTTTTGTATATGTACTGTACATGCAGGTGGTGCCCTTCAATTTGACCTTAATCTATTGCTGGACTACAGTGGGATGTGAAGCACTTGATTGAGCATTCATAAATTGAATTGTCCAAATTTTATGACGTCAAAAGCCCCAGTATATGGACCTGAGAGTTTAAATAACTTCTGCCATGAGATTTTGTGTCTACTTGTACTCATTCAAATGAAAATATAATTCAAACTTCACCAACTCATAATTATTATGCAAAGAACCTGTTTTATTTATTTTATTTTTGAATTCCACTGAAGTTTGAGTAACTCTTCTACAGCAATATTCTTCATAAGCTAAATAATTCATCAGTCCTGACTCCTGGTAAGTATCAGTACTTACAGAGTTTCACCGCTTCACGAAATCAACATGAAATCAGAACTTGAATTCATTTTTCAATGTAAAATATTTCAAGTTTTCTGCAGAACTCTTTCATATCTCTTTCAAAAATAAATGCAATGGCTTAATGAGTGCGATGAGCTTGTGCTCTTCACGGTCAGCCATTCCCACAAGGACGAAATCGAGGAAGATTCGTGCCATGGGAAGTAACGCTAAAAACTAAAAAATTAAAAGAAAATATTAGCACATTTGACGAATTCTTCACATTCCCACCTGCAGACAGACATCTTACTTCTGGAGGTTGAGAAAAATAGCAAGTATCATCAGAAATTTGCATCAATTTTGATGCGCATTTCACCGAGTCCGCAATAACCAATTCAAAATCAGCGCGTAAAAAAAAAAAAAAAA